TATGTTTTCCTTTGGGAAGCATACTGGTATTTTTCTTTGTGCCTTGGGATGTGATTAAATGCTTTAACGGCCATGCTCACTTTAAAGGCTTTGAATTCTATGTGAAGACACATCAGCTTTTTAATATATAGATCTACCCTTTTACTTATCTAACAAACTGAAATTGGTGTATCGAATTTTCTTCTGTCCATACCTTTGGTATTTGTGTCTTTCCTAATTTTTTAATGTTACACTTTTGGAATACAAAGGATTTAACACACATATCTTCACTGTGGTATGTTCCTTGTGTGAATAATGAAAATATATTTTTCTTTCTCTGCTCTTTTGATTAATATGAATTTTGTCGCCTTACTAATACTTAATGTTTTATATGTTTAGTGTGTACACGTGTGTGTGTGTGTGTGTGTGTGTGTGTGTGTGTTCCCATATGCACATGGGGCACATTTAATGTACATGCACATTAAAATGGGGCAGATTCCCCCTGGCCCATGTTTTGAGACAGTCTCTCCCTGAACCTGGGGCTCTCTGAGATTCAATTAGATTGGCCAGCCAACCTCTGGCACCCTCCTCTGTCTGACTCCTCAGTGCTGGTATTATAGGTGCACACCAGCATAATTAGATTTTTACAAAGAAACAGGACTCAGGCTGGGGTTTTCATGCTTGCTGGCAAGCACATCACCAGCTTTGTCAAAGTTTTAACCTTTTCTACATCAACTTTCTTGAACACGTTCCCAGATAGACAGTCTTTAAACGGGTTTTGTTTCTGAACCCAACCATAGTTCTTCCTGATTAACCAGGGGTCTATTCTGTTCCATCCATTGTCTCATTACTTTCTTTAATCCCTTTCCCCACCTTTTTCTCATTGTGCTTTGTTTTGTTGTTTTTAATCCGGGTTGTGTTTTCTTATAGAGATAGCTGCTCTGCTACCTTTGCATTCAAACTACAACCCAGTGCTTGGCCGCTGTGCAACGCTATTCCTGAGACAGTGTGAAGAAACATGTTCTCACCCCAGATAGGGAACCAACAGGCCAAAATAAAGGTAACTGTTAACGCCCAGCTTAGTGAAACCGTGAGTTTTATTGGAGTTACTTACAGGAACAGAAATAGCACAGAGACGGCTGTATCACCAGTCACCCTAGCATGGGGGCAGCTCACAAAAGCTAGAAACCCGGAGCACACTGTGCAAACTGGAGGCATCTCGACAAGGTATAGAGGACCTTCCCAGGTAATTCAGTGGGACTGAGCTCCTTCCAGGCTTGAATTGCCTCTTGGTAGCTTGGATAGTCTGAGAGCATCTCACGGTAGTTCTTACTGTTTATATATGCTTGAGAAGAGAGTACCCTAGTGAATCTGGTCATTTTCAGGGACATCTAAACCCTTTGAGTATTTATGTCCTGAGCTTAACAGGATTCCCTGCAGGATAGAAGGGTTTACTTCCAGTTGGAATATCCTATGTCTTTGGGACCTTCACCACAGGATAGAATATTTTACCTCCCCTTCGAATGTCCTGTCTTAACAAGCTTCCTGCCAACATGGAGGGTTTTATTGCCAAGGAAACAGTCACCCAACACTGGCCCAGTTCACATAGCCACCATAAATGTATGAAAGCTTAAGTGTGCAATGATGTGAAAAATGCAAATGCTGATTGTTTTTATTTTATTAAAAATGGCTTTTTATATACAATATATTCTAATTATGGTGGCCCTTCCAGTTCCTCCATACATCTCTACCCATCCAGATCCACTCCATTTCTGTCTCTCATTAGAAAACAAACAGGCATCTAAGTGATAATCATAAAATGTAAGATAAGTGAAAACAAAGCCTTTTGGAATAGGACAAAACAAACAGAAGAAAAAGGGCCAAAGAAAAAGCGTAAGAGACACAGAGAGACACACGTTTGTACACACAGGAATCCCATGAAAACACAAAACTGGAAGCCATAATATGCAAAGGGCCTGTAAGGTTTTAAAAAGAAAAGAAAAGAGAAAAGAGAAAAGAGAGAAGAGAAGAGAAGAGAAGAGAAGAGAAGAGAAGAGAAGAGAAGAGAAGAGAAGAGAAGAGAAGAGAAGAGAAGAGAAGAGAAAATCCTGACACAACAGTATGAGACAAAGAGGTTCCAAAGGTGTTGGGTCTGTTCTCCTTTGGCTATCTTCTGCTGGGCATGTGGTCAAGGGCCTAACCTTAATAGTAGTTTGTTTCCCCACTGAGAAGCCTTTGTAGACTACTAATTGTTTCATTTGCAAATGATTATCATTTGGGGATAGCTTCTGTGTCAGGGACTGTGGCAGCAGGAGGGGGGAGCGTTTATTCTTTCAGCCCTAGGACCCTATCTAGGGCAGAACCATACATGCAAGAGCCTGTGAGTTCATACATGTGTTGGTCCCGCTGTGTTTAGAAGGGCTTGTTTCCCTGTTGTCCTCCATCCCCACTGGCTCGTTCATTCTTTTTTTTTAAATATTTTAATTTTTATTAATTACACTTTATTCACTTTGTATCCCCCCAAAAGGCCCCCCTCCCCTCCCAATCCCCCCTTCCCTACCCCTTCTCCATGCATGCTCCTTTCCAAGTCCGCTGATAGGGGAGGTCTTCCTCTACTTCCTTCTGATCCTAGTCTATCAGTTCTCATCAGGAGTGGCTTCATTGTCTTCCTCTGTGGTCTGGTAAGGCTGCTCCCCCCTCAGGGGGAGGTGATCAAAGAGCAGGCCAATCAGTTTATGTCAGAAGTAGTCCCTGTTCCCATTACTATGGAACCAGCTTGGACACTGAACTGCCATGGGCTACATCTGTGCAAGGGTTCTAGGTTATCTTCTTGCATGGTACTTGGTTGGATTATGAGTCTCAGAAAAGACCTGTGCTCAGATTTTTTGGTTCTGTTGCTCTCCTTGTGGAGCTCCTGTCCTCTCCAGATCTTACTATTTCCCACTTCTTTCATAAGATTCCATGCACTCTGCCAAAATTTGGCCAGAAGTCTCAGCATCTGCTTTGATAGTCTGCAGGGCAGAGCCTTTCAGGGGCCCTCTGTGGCAGGCTCCTAACCTGTTCCCTGTTTTCTCCTTCTTCTGATATCCATCCTCTTTGCCTTTCGGGATGGGGATTGAGCATTTTAGCCAGAGTCTTCCCTCTTGATTAGTTTCTTTAGATGTACAGATTTTAGTAGGTTTATCCGATATTAGCCACCTCTTCCACAGGGTTTCCTGAGCCCCGAGGAGATTTGATGAATGCATCCTGTTTAAGGCTGAGGGTTTCCAGGTCTCTCGCTCCCTGCACAATACCTGCTGAGAATCTCTGTATTTACATCTATCCGCTGCAGGAGGAAGCCTCTCTGATAATGGCTGGGCCCATTAAACTTTTCAAGAGACAAAAACAACTGGAGCTATAGAAAGTTAAATTATCATATGTATCCATGCTGTCAGAGAGAGGCAGACTTACACAGATCATTCTACAGCAGTGGGAGATTAGATTGGCACTTGCTTAACACCCTGAGTGCCATCTTGACACTACTTTCCTTATTATACAGATGTTTGCTTTGAGCTGCAGATCAACTGTTATCTGTAAGCTATTTGTCTTGAGAAAAGCGTATTTACTGCTAGGGTCTGCAGGGCCCAGAGCAGAGGTGATGCTCTCAGACGCCACAGTCAGCACACAGATTGTCCCCAGATTCGTCCTATACTTCCCATTTCTAAAAGAAAGTAAGTCTTTAAATAGTGAAGGGAAAGTTCTCAAAATAGCAATAAAGAGAAAAATTAATAAAGACACAGTAGCAAAATAGCTTATAATAAAGAGGTTCACATAATCCTAAATAACATCAACTGAAGAAACAGTTTCAACTAGAGACATCATGTTCTCATAGGATGTACACAGTCACGATGTGGCCGACTGCGGCACAGATCCTGGTCAGAGGAGCCCTGCTCTTGCAGCTGTGAGAGAATAAAGAGCAAAACCAAGTCCAGACAGTTTTGGCATCTTAAACTCAGAATGTCCTCTTCAGCAAGCCAACCGGACTCGCTCTTTTCCAAACTGTGGCTGACAACCTGCATCCTTTCCCATCCTATCTGCACGGGGCTTTCTATTTTTAACCCAAGGACAGGGCTCTGTTTTCACCCCTAACCAACTGCCAACCCACTGCAGAACCTGCGGTGAAGCGCCTGTGCTCTGCCTCCAAATCAGCGACAATCCCCCAGTTGCCTTCTGCAGCCTTCTCCAATTGTCGGCAAAAATAGGGTGCAGCCTTTACAATTACAGTTGTAAAGAAAACTACATATTTGTAATTATACGGAAATGTCCAGTTTTCTAAGTGTTTACAGGCAAGGGGAAACAGGAGAATCCAGTTTCCCCTTTTTGATAGAACTTTCTGCCAGAACCTGAATAAGGAAGCCCTTTAGGGAACACAGAAGGGGAGGAATGTCAAACGGCTCGATTTCCAAGAGCAGGCCATGGCGACGGCTCTGTGGGGGAATTCCTTAGGCTGTTTTCGGATCTTCCAGAACTTTGATGAGGGACAGAGAAAGCAGAGTGAGGCCCTAGCAGTATCCCCAGGAAAGGCTCACCCTGGCAGAAGCCATTGCAGCTCGCTAATATTTTTCTCTTCTTACCTATACGAGAATATAAATAGAAATACAATTTGTTTTACAAAGTCTTATTAAAAAAAAACAAAACAAAACACCTACAATTGCAGCTAGGACTCAACCATTTTATGATAAAAAGGATCATGCTGTCCCCCTCTGGTTAAGGAAGGGTAGCAGCATTAGTTTGGAGGAGCCAAGTCCACCGTTAACCTTGTTGAACCAAGAGGGAGGGATGGAGCAAACATTCCAGAAGTTTGGCCAACAAAAAAACCATCTTGACCATAAAGAATCAAACCAAATATAATAAAGTGGAAAAGTCAGCATTTCTAGAATAAATATTTTACTTTAACGTAAATTCAGTTAGCAAGTTAACAAGCCATTATTCTGCAGTGAAAATCCTTTTTACTAAGTGAAGAAGAGGACACACACACAGTCTGAAGGCGATGTGATTTTGCTTTATTGAGTACAACACCACTGGTATTTATAGTCGTGGAACAGTCATAAGACCACACCACCCATGGCGTTCCTTAAAGCGCGACTCCAGTGCACTCCATCTACTAATCCACTTACATTAATACAGTAAGTAATTCGCAGCTTGCCAGCCAATATCCACGATAGTTCATTTCATAAAACGACATTTAAGATGAAAGTAGTGTAAGGAAATATAAAAAAAAGTTTCAGAAAAATATTTCCGTATCTAGTCATAATCTTCCTGGTTTTCTGTAAAAGAAATCAGTAATAGTTATGAGCATTCTTGGTTCCATGCACGCTTACTTTCTTCAGTAACATTTAATTTTCACCACAGAAGAGCTTTCTTACTCTTTTATCACATTGCTTGATTACATTTAAAATAAAACACACACCCAAATTTAAAGATTCATTTTAAATATTTTGAAGTGTTTTCACATTAGCAGCAAGGCATGCTGGCCACATTTCCTTTACTCTTCAGCACACAGACCATCATGGGGAGACTCCCCAAAGAGGGAGGAGGATCTCCAATCGGCCCTCAGGGCCACTGACTACAGAAATCCATTACGTTCCCAGGCACTAAGAGGCACCAGAAATACAGTCTCTGTACCTGCAGGCTTGTGGCCAGCACCCCTAACTGACATCCCTAACTGCAATAACATTCTCAAAACACAGCTCTCGAACTGTGGGGATTGTGGGAATATAGCGGCAGAAGGGGCCATAACTTGCATAAACGCTTTCTCTGATTTTCTACAGGCTGATTCCATAACCCATTTGCAGAATTTAAGAATTACAATGTTCTGTATTGGAACAGGTCGTTGGCACCATGCTGAGTTTGTTCTCCTTTTATCTTCTGAACAAATCTTGGTTCCTCACAACGCATTATTATTACTTTCTGGACAATTCAGATATTAAAATATAAAGGCCTCCAATCTCATCTCCTCATTTTGGAACACTTTAAAGGCAGGGTATCAGTGCTGGCAACTTCTATATTAAAAACCTGAAAGCCAAATAAAGCGAAGATTGTCTTAATGATATTCTTTTTTTTTCTTCTTCTTTTTTTTTATTCCTAGAATAGCACTGTTGACAAGTCTGATAAGCCCAACTTAGAAAACACTATGAATAAATATAATTTCTCATCCAATACTTATGACATCCTTAAGCTGGGTGTGGTGGCACACGCCTGTGAGCCCAGCACTTGGGAGGCAGAGGCAGGACAACAGTAGGCTTAAGGCCTGCCTGACCTAGCGTTAGACCTTGCTGCAAAGCAAAACAAACCACCCTCCCATTAAAACATTTAACTCGCCAAAAAAAGGTTCTGGAAATAGCAGCAATGCTAGGGTTTTGTTCTTTTTTTGTTTTATTTTATTTCTTGGTAAACAATTCTCTATAATAAAGAGACTTTCTCCCTAAAAACCATGTTCTTTGAGTAACATAAATATAAACTTCAGATTGTTGTTTATTGTATTATAAACAACTAGAACCTGAGTCAGTGATGTATTGGAAGCCCCGTTCGAGAAGCAATGGAAATTATGCTTCTACACAAACATTTTAAATAGCTGGGACAATACATAGCAATAAAGGGGAAAGCCAGGACAAAAATGTATTTATTTGATTGTTTAATGCTAACACACTGATGCCGTCTGTAAATCTTAATATTGTTGACATCTATCGGGTATAAATATGGTAGCAGGAGACTGGGCATTTTTATGAAGTGAACACTTTCTTCTGAATGTTACTCTTTACCAGAATAAAAGGCCCAGGTAGCTGTTGATCCTGAGTAACGGGGTGTAAATACCCTTGAGCACGTCAACACCTACCTCTGCCATCAATAGTTGATCATCTTGCGAAGGGCATCGTAGCACTTCCATTTGTCTGGGATATAAAATGGCTCAAAAATGTGAGGAAATGGGGTGTCATAGCCACATACTCTAGATATTGGAGCCTCTAGGTTCAAGAAACATTCTTCCTAGAGAGAAAGACCAAAAACAAGAGACTTTAACGTGTTTTCGTTCACGGAAATAAAACATTTCCACTTAAAATAACTTGACTACTTACAACACAATTACATCTATGGATATCAAAATATCTATGTACATTGTTACTTAAACGCAGGTCTGAGCAGAATGTTGGCATGATCCCAACCTTCCCTGAAAGGATGTGCACTTGCTGCTGTGGACACATACACCTATTATCAGCCCTAACATAGGATCATAGCAACCATACTTCAGTGAGTATAAAGGTAAAGCAAGACAACACAGCAAATTCTCACAGCACTTAGCACTGCAGCTTGAAATTGGTGATTGCGTGCGTCCTCTTGTTTCCTGTATCTTCGTTTAAGTTTGTAAAATGACTGTGTGTTGCTTTCATAAGTTTACGTCTGGGATTCTGCTGTTGCTCCAACTGTCTTTCGGGTACTTGACTGTCTTCATTGCTCTCTCAGCCAGGCTTCTGAAGATGCTGCTGGCCTGTGGCTACTCATATCTCAAGTCTACTGCCTGACCACTGGGTGATGACCTCTCAGGTCTGAGGACACTTCACTGGGGCAGCCTCCTTTCATGGTAATTTCTCAACTGCACATGCCGGTAACAGAGGGACCCCCGCCCTGAACTTGCATGGTAGTAACCTAGGCATGGCCCATGGCAGTAGCCAGATTTTTTTGTCTCCCCAGGTAGACCACAAGCTCCCTACAGGGAGGCATCTAGTTCAAAACTATTATACTATTCTTACATGTCAGCGTGTTTCCAAATTATCATATGAACAAATATTTTTATCTGAAGATACTCACGATATTGTATTCAATCTGTATCCTTTGTGCAAACTATTTTCTTCAGTACAAGTATAATAGGGACAGAAAAGATCAGTAAATGTCAGAGAAGGCCAAGTGACCATGTACAGACCCTTCCTTGGTCCCACTAAGCACAGTGACGTGCATCATCAAATGCCAAACCGGTGTTACATTTCCCAGTGACAGGCATCTCCATGAACAGCACAGGATTTCACCACCTAAGCTTACAGTGCGATCTAAGAGGTCCACCACTAACAACCAAACCAGGATGACAGACAGAGTGGATGGTCCCCCATTTTCTTCAATGTAACAAGGAATTTTAAAAAGGTTTAAATTGTCAATTTGGGAAGAACTCAGTTTTATGTTAGAGGACTCCGGCTGTTTTCTCATCTTTCTTGAATCCTGCATTCTTTGTAAGCAAATTAGCATCACTGTACAGAAAATGGGAGACAAACCATTTCCCTAAGTGCTTGTGATTTTACCCCTGCTGTAACCAGTGACTTGGAAAGCCAACCTACCTCAAAGTCGGTGCCATTAACATCACTCCCTTTATCACATCGACAACAGAAAACCTGATCACTGTCAAACAGTACTGCTCCTGACTCAAGAATGTGAGCTTTGCTTTTTCTCAAAAGTCATCTATATGTTTGCACCAGCACAGAAAAAAAAAAAAAAAAAATCATCTACCATCCAGTCACACTTGAACTATAAACTGTATTACCCTCTGAGGCTGGAAACAGTAAGGCGGGAAAAGATTTCACTTTATACTTCATAAGATTTATTTCAGGCTTTATGGGACAATGCAGATGCTGTCATCAAGTGACAATGAAAAACAAAAGATTAAAGAATCAAGTTTTGTCTGAATAAAAGCCCCCATTTTAGGTTACAGGAATCTGTGGTTTTATGTGTAGTTTTTCCTTACCGCAGAAGCCAAGACTGTAAATTAAATAGGATAGAATTAAATGATGATATGCATAACATGCATTCTACAAATCATGGGTGAGAGTTCAAGGCCACTGAGCAGAAGACTGTGGATGGGACTTTCAGGGTAATCAGCATGTGCCCCAGAGAAATGAGCCAGTTTGAAATTCTAACTTTTTGTTAAATGAAAGGCATTGACCAAGAACCATTAGTTATTTCTTCCACGAACATCAAGTGGAACATATTACAAAGAAATTGGAAATAAAATGTCTGGACCAACCAAGCAGCTGTGCTCATAGAACTGGTATATATGCAAATTACTTATACCACTCCACTCTTTTGAGCTCTATAGCACGCCCTTGCTCAGCGCCAGGTTCCTCAAAAGGAAGCTATACATACATGCCAACAGACAGACAGACAGACACATGCACACACACACACACAAACACACTTTGGAATAGAAATGACAGAATCTCATTATCGGATGTACAGACTATTATATGCAATTAATCCTTCAAACATCTCTCTCCATTCTGACTGCATGATAGATTGCTCCAAGTGTGCTGAACTTCCAGGACAAGCTAAACTAATGATATTTATTTGTTCCGTTGTCTGTTTAAGTATAATCATATGTTTTTGTTTTATCTTACTGTATTTTGTTTGAGACGGGGTCTCACTTGGCAGCCTAGGCCAGCCTTGCACTCACTATATAGACCAGGCTAACCCAGAACTCTTGGCAATACTACTATTTAGCTCTCAAGTGATAAGGTTACACGCATGAAGCACATACCCAGCTTAAGCACATACATATTTAAAAATCATATTTGCTGACACTGAATTCAGAAAAAGCAAGTCCATAGAACGAGGAATTAAATAACGGCCCAGTCCACAGGGCTGTAAAAAGGAGTCTCTGTAGTGTCTAGCACAAGTCAGTGTTTTGTCTTTCTCCCCGGAGAGAGCAGGGTACATAGACTGGTTGCATCCAGCTCCAAACAGACCACCACGTAATCAGGGTCAAAAAAGAATCGACACAGAAGCCAAGAGAGGCTTTCTTCCAACCATCGGGAGCCCAGTGAACCCTGATGTCCGTATAGTGACATCTGCATACTGTTTGCTCATGGTAAGTCACAGTCCCTCCAGAAAAGCCATGCGAAACTCTGAAATGACATGTGAATTTGCTTCTGAATGGGCTTTTGCAACTGTGAATTTTCCCCCTAAAATATGTTAATAATAACAGTGCCGGTGTTCACATTGCCCCAGGCTGTGTGCTCAATGACTTATGTGTTTTATCTTGTTTTTATTTCCTTTCATGAGCAAGGAGACTGAAACAGAGCAAATTGTCCAAAGTCAATTACTAATGTGCACAGGCAAGGAAAATCCAAGCATCTCTGCAAGGCCTGTGGTCTTAGTCTCTTCCTCAAACTCAAATTTGCTACTTTTAAATTTTTATTAAAAGTTTATGGTGTGTGTGTATGTGTGAGAGAGAGGTGGGCAGGAGGGAGAGGAGGGAAGGAAGGGCATTCTCATGCCACAAAGTACACCTAGAGTTCTGAGAACAACTTTTCAGAGTCAGTTTTCTCCTCTCACAATGGATTCTGAGAATTGTATTCATTTTGAAAATAGCAATAAGAGAGAAAAAAATTAATTAGGGATGTTTCTCTAAAAGATGAAATGGAAGGCAGGCTGGGTTATCTCCGTTTTATAAAAAAGCACTGAACAGTGCGGGGTGTTTTAAGTACAGCTTTGGAAGCCTCTTTCCCGTCATAAGAAGGGTGGGGTCACATAATGTGAAAAAGAAATGAAAGCACAAGCGTGCATGAAGGTAATGCTCAAGGCAAGAAACAGATGTCCCGGGACTAGGAGCCTCTGAGCTATCCTAAGAGATCTGAGCAAGTATAGTTCAAGTTGTTTATATATTCGCCATCTGGCTTGCTCTGCACACCACAGCCAGGAAGGGAGGTAAGCCAGCAGTGGATAATAATTCCATGTCACCAAAATCATGGATGAGGGCAAAATCCATCTTCACTTGCCCATTTTTTTTCATGATATAAATTTCACTTTTAATTCCCTGCTATGTTTTTTAGAAAACAAAGATCATGCAGAAGAGACAGAGACCCTTCAAATTTTTAAGCAGGTAAAAGAAAAAAATAAAAAATTCATAGAACTGGGCCATTATAGCTTAAGATAAAAGAAGTATTACTGAGATTTTAGCTATCCTGAATTTATGTCTCTGTTTTGTTAAGTGTAAGTTCAATTACTTCAGTGTGTTCCCTAACGATCACATACTGGAATCTTTCCTAGTTCCTATGTTGATATTTGGACATGGAGGCTTGGGAAGTAGCCTCGGGTTAGAGGAGGTCATCAGAAAGATAACCCCACCACGGCCCCCATAGAGCAGCAGTGGTTTTAGAAAAAGGCATGTGGCACTCTTGCTAGGTCCTTCAAGGTGTTCTATCATAATATGGCCCTCAGCAGATGCCAATACAATGCAATTGGACTTTCCAGCCTTCAGAAACAAGAGCCTCCTTTAGCTCTTCTCTAGAAATTAACCAGTCTCTGATACTTTGTTATAGAGACAGAAAACAGACCAAGGCAAAAATATATAGTGTAACATATATATTTGCATAAATGCATGTTAGTGCTTTCAGGGACTCCCTCAAGACCTCACAATGCATTAACGTCATTTTACCTTATTAAAAAAATTAAGTTCATCAGCCACTAATCTTCCTGCCTTGGTGTTACAGTGGTACATCACTGAAAAGACTAGTCAGGCAAGCCAGCAGCCCTCGGCAAATCCCTGTGTTGTTTTTACGGTAAGGTTTAATAATAAAATTGGCACAGCATGGAATCTGGAATTGTATCCGAGGACAAACTTTATTCTAGTATGATTTAATTTCCCCAAATCTCCACAGGCAACAGCAAAATTGAAATTATTATTATTTTGCATTCTCATGGTTTTCTACCATTATGTAACTTTGTCTATTTAGCTCTCTCGATGTGTAGCAACGTATAAGGTTACTTGTTTTCATGCCTGTCACATCAGAATTTAAAAAAAAAACCACTGAGTTTTTGTTCTCCGCTAAAGATTTTCCAAGTTAAAGGAGTCCCTTATCTACAGTGAAGCAGGTATTTGAAACAGCAGGCTACTCATTGAGAAAGATTCAACTGTGCCAATTTCTCAAAGCTGAGTTACGGCATCCATAATAGCACACAGCCTGGCAGCTCCTTACAAGGCCTTAAAACGCATAAGAAATCATCCC